GATCAGTTGCATGCTATGTGTTTAATCATGTTTCGAATAACTCTAGCATGCTTTTCCATACTAAAGTTTGATGATTTAAGGGTGGGCATTTGACCAGTAAGTCACGACCAGTATAAAACACTACCCGGACAAGTGGGTGATAAGTTAAGATTGTGATACCCAGGGCGTGTTGGTGACTGATAAGTCACGACCAGTATAAAACACTACCCGGACAAGTGGGTGATCAATCGAGAATGAAGTATCAACCCAGGGCGTGTTTGTGACTAAATGACCCATTCCAGACAGATAATTTATGAGATCTCATTTATTTCAGTGTTGCATGTTTTCAGAAATTGCATGCTACTTGGTACAAGGTTTACAAGTTGAAATGCATGACGTACAATGTTTTTATACACAAAAACCATGAACTCACTGAGCTTTATAAGCTGACTATAGTATGCATCTCAGGCCCAGGTAGTTCGAGGACGGATAAAGGCAAAGGACATGCTTAGAGTGTTGCTTATTATCATCTCATTTTAGTCTTTTGTCTAAGATGCGCTRTAAAGATCTTTTGTAACTTAACCCCAAGAGAAGGTGGGTTAGAACTTAAGTTAGATTTTGATGATTCAAAGACTTCCGCTGTAACAGTTTAAATGGTTTTAAATTAGCCATTATTTTGGAAATGTTTTAGATTACGCGTCATCTCTCTTGATGAAAATGAGGGTGTTACACCTTACTCTTTTTAGCGGTTACCCAATCTATATCAGTAAATGGCCCCTAGGTTGTAAATTGTGCCCTGGTGATAAGTACAAGCTCCATGGATCTCTTAATTGTAGTTCACATGCTGTAACTTTCTCATGCTTATGCTATTGGTACTTCTATTACACATTAGTGAGTATGTTCATTTTTATTTGAGAAGTTGAGTCTACAAGTCTTATTAACCATGTGATTGTGTATAGATTGCTTGCAACTTGAACTTCTGGGGTGAGATGATTCATATTAGGTTCCTTTTTTGGATTACAGTTAGTTGGGATGAAAGCTTTTTATAGTTAAATTTACTAATTGAGATGCTTAGAATGAAGTTAACTAGCAGGATGTTGGTTGGATAATTATTGCCCAATTTTCTCTTCTTTGAATGGAAGAAAGATTAGTTGAACCTATGCTGGCATCCCAATTGATTTGGCTTATTGGTATTCATTTGCTTTCTAAATGAAGATAAAATCATAGTTATTTAGGGGCCATTTACCAAACACTTACTCGGTAAGTGCTTACTGGTAAAATTTAACACTATTATTTACTAACCGGGTAAGATTTTAGTCTACCAAAACGACATCGTATGTAATAATTTACCCGATAAGCGCTTACCGTGGTAAGAGTCGTCGCCCTTACTTACCGGGTAAGACTTACGTTCCTTGTCTCGCTCTTACCGGGTAAGATTCTTAGTACTTACGATATTCATCCAATGAGGTAATGTTACTTGATAAGCGCTTACCTGAGTAAGCGTTTGATAAACGGCCCCTTGGTTCTTGAAAGGGTATGCAATTATACATTTATACCATCTCATGTTTCAAACATGATTATGTGTGTGGACTTCTTATATCACTTGTACACACTTCTGCAAAATATATAACTATTCAAATGTGCTCAATACTATCTAGATATCATGTATTTAAACAAACAACATGTCCAAGCTATTGAAGAGCTGGAGGAAATGAAGAGGGAGCAGAAATCTTTGCTTGAAAAGATAGAACAACTAAAGGGTCAGGCACATGCTTCCAGTGAAGAAGGTAAATAGAGCAATGCAGTTTTTTAAAGTTTCTGAAGGTTTTTATTATTTGAAACTTAGTAATTGCATTTTGTTTGTTGGATTGCCAACATTATGACTGTTCTATCTGTACAAATATATTTCTATTGGATTAAGATTGTGCAAGATAGAAGCTTATATAGGATTCTTGCTATATCTATACGACAAACCAGTCAATCATAATCCATGGAAACTGACTATAATCGATGCTCTATTTGAGTTTAGAACTAACCTGATACTCATTGCAATGTGATATAGCAGATTCAAACCCTAAAAACACAAAAGGGGAAATTTTAGAAAAGCTCTAAAACCACAAAAAATCGAGTTGATGAAGAAGAGATACAACGATTTTACATACCTAAGACCAGATAACATCGATGTAGGAGATTGGTGACGACGATTGAGGGAAGATTTGCAAGAAGAATTCGTCGATTGAGATTGAGGAAGCCGATTGTTAGAGTTGAAGAAGTCGTCGATTGAGATTAGGGCGCCGATTGAAAATTTGAAATCCCTGTATTGGGAAATTGAGTTTTAAAAAAATAATGTGTTTAATATTTTCCATGTTATTTGATTACATGTCAATTTTTATTCCACGTTATTTGTTTAAAATACATGTCATTTTTAGTTTACCGATTACCTGAATTATAGGTAATTCAGGTACTTAAAAGTTTGAGATTTCACATCTTAGGCATCAAAATAAAGGTTTTGAAAGTATGTTACCCAAACTAGGAATAAAACTAAAGTACGTTACATTTTTATGCAATTTGCCCTATTTTAAAACCATCTTTCTTCACTATGAAGATATCACATCTTCACGCATTAAATAATTAAATTTCATGTATGCATCACATTCCTCACATACACATGTAATTCACGTATGCATCATATCACCTTTTTCACATATATGCATACTACTTCATGCACTTAATTAAATAATATGCATGTCGTCACGTAATTCAAAATAATAATCACGTATAGGTTACCTCAACCCAGTTTGTCTGAAACCCGGTTATAACACAAGGTGGTCTACAAGGTCTTCAAAAACCATGTTTGGCATGGTGATTATGTGGTTGGATGTCATATACTTTATTAAGTGTGGTTATTAATTTGTTAGTAGGAAGACAAGTATTGAGTTTAAGTGTGTTTATCTTTCCCGCTATTTTTTTTAGGAGTAAGAGTACGAAAGTGCTAGTATTTATAGTTGCAAGTTTTTAATTAAGTTTGGTTAAAATATTTCTTCTTTCTCCCTACATTTTCCTTCTTGGCATTGTTGGAGTCAACACTCGTTCGAAGAGTGCAGGTGGAAACAACCCTTGATCGTATTGGACTCATGGTTATTATTTAATTTTTAAACTCGACACAAAAGGAGGAAGAAGTTTGAACTAGTACATAGACTTAATATCAGAAAAGGTACCTGCCAATATTTTGATACAAAATGATCAATCAACTCTTTTCGTCCATGTTTGATTTGGACTCTTTGTACCTAAAACAAATAGACTATCTAAAATTACATCTCGGAAAAACTAGTCACCATATTGAATTAAGGTGTGAATAAAAATATTAATGTAAGCGTATTTGTTGTGAAGAGACGATACTTTTTCTCAACACACTTTGCGAAAACATAGAAGGGTTAACCGGCATCAATGTATACATATGTATTAAAAAGGCCTCCATAAATAGAAAAGGGTTGTTGATACTTAATCATTACATATGCATCTCAGTATTTCAAGGGGGTTATCTACAATTGCTTGATGTTTGATATCATATTAGAGAAGAACTCTAAACATTGTCTTATCCATGCTTTTTTTTACCAGAGCCAAAACTACGTATTATTCTTAACACAATGCTTTCACTTGCTTAAACCAATTTCCTTTAAGGCCTTAACTAACACATCTACATTTAGAATCTCAAGCTTGTTTGATTGTCATCAATCTCAAGAGGAAACAAAGTTTACCTCATCGGATTTTCATGACTAACAAATTTTACGTACACAACACTTTCAAGGGTAACATTGCCCAAAAAAATAACTAAAAAAACAAACCATTTATGCAATAATGCTCTTTATGCTAATCTAACAAATTACTGATTGTTTCCCTTCATATTTTCTTACTCTAACAAATACAATCACTTGTTAACGATGAAAAACATTAGGGTGTTCCTTTTTCAATCAACAAAATCATCTTACGCTGGATAATCAAACCTACCATAAAAAAAAGGTAAACAACAATTTATAATCATCGCCATCAATTTTCTTTGTTCAAATGTATTTTCTTTAACCAATAGTTTGACATCATCAACTATTTATGAAATTGATGAAAATTAACATACATATTGAAGAAACTAAAACAAAGGAATGTGTTTGTACATGATCAAAACAAGTATTTACCACCGTTGGAGATCACTTCTTCAATTTTGAAGGGACCAACAAGTACATTGCTTCTTCAGTTTGAGTTTACTACACTCTCATCACCTATAAGTAAAAAGGACGAAACCATCAAAACAACAAAGAATAATCTAAATACAATGAATGAAAAAAAGATGTGCAACGATGAACGTCAATGTAACAAGAAGAATGAGTAATGTACGTGTGTGTGTGTGTGTATATATATATATATATATCTAAACATTTTGTGTGTGATGTATGAGTCATGCGTGTGTATATATATACTTCATGTGTGTTTTGTGTTATCTATGTGCATACAGATTACTAATGCACATTGTGGTTCGAAGAATTGGTTAAAAGCATCATGGCTTAACATGTTGATTTTGTTCACCACCATCATAAGGTGTAGGTGGAACCCTAACTGTCATTTGACAATCTAGGCCAAATCAACCGGTCTCTCAGCTAACCAAAAACCAAGATCATTATCTTCTTGACTCTAGTGAGCATCTAAAATGATATTGGCATGCGACGAGGATGGAAAGGATTGGGATGTTGGTTTGAGATCAACAGGGAGGAAGGAGGAGGGGTGTTGATTTAACATAAGGGGATGGAAAAAGGTTACATGGCAACATCTCATTGATACTTGTAATGAGTAAAAATACTAAAATGCCCCTCTTTTAACTGATTTTTAACGGAGTTAGAGTGATGGATCAATTTCTTAAGAAAACTAATACCATGAGGATGTTGAGTGTAGTTATTTTACTTTAGCGACTAAATCTGTAATTTGATATAAAACAGGGACTAAAAATCAAATTTAGTAAATTCCATGCCCCCGACCCCGAGTGAAGTGCTGGTATTGGGATCCATCCGGAGGGGTTTTGACGATTAGGCGTTAGCACAAGCAGTTGGACGACGCACGAACTCCTCCCAAGCTACTAACCTCCACCAGCTTCTTCTTCTCTGAATCGAATACAAATTAAATGTCGTCGATATATGTATCAGAGCCTCCCACGAAGGGTAAGGTTGTACTGCACACCAATTACGGGCCGCTTGACATCGAATTATGGCCAAAAGAGGCGCCGAAAGCCGTGAGAAATTTCGTTCAGCTGTGCGTTGATGGGTACTATGATGGCACCATTTTCCATCGGATTATTAAGTCTTTTATGGTTCAAGGTGGTGATCCCACTGGTACTGGCACAGGTATTTCACCTTTTTAGTTAGCCCCCATTAGTTTTTTCTATTTTTAGTTTCCATCTAGGTATCCTTGTCAGAAACACACACACAAACAATTACTCAGATATATTGTTCTGTTTTTAGAAGGTTATGATGTGATCCATGGTAATCAATAGTTGACATCCTATAAGTATTACCCCTCAATTCCATGAAAAGATAGTTGCAGTAAATGGTTACATCTCAACTTCATAATTGATTTGGTATTTTGGAAGCATTTCTAACTTCCAACGAAATATGTAGCAATTTTGAAGAATATTAGTTTTGACATCAAACTCTGACGTTTAGGTCTAGGGTAGTGGAGAGAGTAGTAATGTAGAAGCATGCAAGCACATTATTTAGATTGCTATAATGCTAAAAGATTGGCGCAGAAACAAAAAGGTTTCGAGTTGAGCAAAATGAAAATCTCTACCACCTACAGTAAGCAGCAACATTGAGTGACCAGTATTATTGTGAATACCTAAACATGATAAAAGAAACCCCTCTTTCCTTGAGCTATGTTACCTAATTGTTGGTGTAATAAAGGTGCAACTGGAATGGGTGAATTTCCATCCCTGTAGATTGTAAAACATGTAGCTGCATCTTGGCACTAGCATACAATGTGAAACTTAAAGCATCTCTGGCACTGGAGCAATTATGAAATTGACCAACAATCAAAAGGTTCTGAAGTTTACAATGGGATCTCTTTACTCAAGACAGAAAAGTTGCATATTATTTGTCCTGACATTTCTACAGAGTACAGAGCTTATAGAATCGAAGGTGGAACATGACTATTGCAATAGAAATTTATTTTAGTTGTGGCTTTTGTGACTGAAGTGAATCGTTATTAGTCTGAGTGAGACACCATGTATTTGTTTCAGCAGTGGTTATTCCAATAAATAGAAAAAGGATTTCTCAAATTATATTCCTTCTCCATAGCTGAATTGAAATTATCAAAGCTATATTAATAGTTAGCACATGGAATATAAGTAATTATTGCAGTATTGTTACACAAAAAGGAATTGTCATTGTAAGTGACAAAATTGTAATGAATAAATATTGAGCATTGAACAGTTTTTTGTAATACATGAGCTACAAGTAATGATTGCAATACTATTTTGGAAAAAAGAATTAGTTCTGTAAATAAAAGATCTAAATTGTAATACATGAGCCTGGGTCTTCATGAGCGTAGTGATTTTCTTCTTGTGTTAGTAGGTATGTTTTGTGATATTATGGTGTTGCAATATTGTTTACAGAAGCTTTAGCTTTGGTCAGGTTTTGCTTTCAAATTTCCATGGATTGTTTGATCAAGTAATATGCCTAGTCTTTTTGTCTTGTTCATGAAATTATCGAAGAAAGGCAATAAGCTTTTCCTTTTCTCTCTTTTTATCCTGAATTTGGGTTATGGTTGTGAGGTATGAGGTTTGGCTATGAATGAACTGAGATCTTTAGGTGACTTGAAAGCGCTAATGTACTAAAGGCTCTTATCCTCCTTGGTGATGAACTTCAAATCATTATCAGTGAAGTTTTGGTGTTAATTAACATGGAGGTTCTTCCATGTTTTCGCATGCGATTCTATCAATCCTCTTATGGGCATAATCGACATTAATGTCCACCTTTCTGCTATGTGAATAATTTTTCCTTCAAGTAACATTGTAGATGAAATGCTTGTTGCATTTGCATGGATATGGTTGTATAAATTCGTTTGTCAATTCATCTTGTTTCTGAATTCAGGTGGTGAAAGTATATATGGAGGTCCATTTGGTGATGAGTTCCATTCACGTTTAAGATTCAGCCACAGGGGTTTAGTTGCTTGCGGAGGCACATCAAATTCAAATGGAAGTCAATTTTTTATAACCCTGGACCGTTGTGATTGGCTTGACAAGAAGCACACTATATTTGGCAAGGTAACCACGGGTTCACCAATGCATATTTACTGCCCACCTGTTTGGATGTTGACAGATTTTATTTGGTCTATAGGTCACTGGTGATTCATTATATAATTTATTAAATTTGGGTGAAATTGAAACTGATAAAGATGACCGACCAGTGGATTCTCCTCCAAAGATTCTTTCCATTGAGGTATATCTTTTTCTACTTATTTTCATTTTATTTTTTGAGATGTCTGATTGCAACAGAAAGACCATTTAAGAATGAGGCGTAGCTGTAAAACCTCTAGATATGTATCATATTGTACATGTATAACATGATGCACACTGTAAACTCAACATGCAGTTTATCTCAACCATATTCTTTAATGAGTTCAAAATCACAAATGTCAGTTTTGTTGGCTTTTGAGATCAATTGATACTTTACAAAACTTCAGGTGTTGTGGAACCCATTTGATGATGTTTTTCCAAGAGCTGCACCTGCAAAATCTTTGACATCAACTACCATGGAAACTAGCAACAAGGACACAAAAAAGAAGGCAACAAAGTAATAAATTTATCCTGCCTCTGGAGTGATTAACAATATTGAGATTAGATAGTGTTTCTGTTGTAAATGTCTGGATCATGTGATGTTTGTTCAACATTTACAGAAAGTTGAACTTGCTGTCATTTGGAGAAGAAGCAGAAGAAGAAGAGAAAGAACTGGCAGCTGTGAAGACTAAGATAAAAAGTAGTCATGATGTGTTGAATGATCCTCGTCTCTTGAAAGAAGAAAATTCTAGAGATAAACTGGCAAGTATAAATACATCTTTGTTTTTTTGTTCTTGGATCTGCAATAGCAACACAATCAACCTCCCCACCATAATGTCTCTTACGATACTTGAGCAGGCAAACACTCATTTATTATGCCATTATAATGCATTCTAAGACTACAAGATAATATGCTATATCCTAGGTCCTAGGCAATTCAAGAAAGTGATGGTTAGTGCTGTGGAATTAATTCCTAATTCAATTGAACAAAACTGAAGTGTGTGAGGTATAAAAGCATGGGGTTAAATCATTACCGAGTTCGATGGCTACACTGAAGTAGACTTGAAATACTGATAATGACTTTAGCCTATAGGAAATGTGTATTCAGTGAAAGCAGATGAAAGACATTAATCTAGGTTGATATTAATTGCATTTGGTTTGCGTATGGTTAATGTTTGAAGTACCAGTGATTTTATTTTGAATAATATGCATATGTTTACATTATATGAAATAAACTAATCTTGATTAATATCACATCCACTGTTGCAGAATCCATCCGAAGAGAAAGCAAGAAGAGATTTGCAAATGAGTGTTAGAGGAGCTTTAAGCTCCAAGAAAGAAGAGTTACTGAAGGAATCAGATGCTGATTCCGTTGACAATAGTGATGATGATGAGGCAAACTTTGATGCACGAATGCGTCAGCGGATACTGAAGAAGAAGAAGGAGCTTGGGGATATACCATCCAAGCAAAAAGTACACAAAGGTAATCTAAACGCAGAAATACACTGAATTGTTTGTTATTAAGATGTGCTTTAAACATGTCTCATTTTCCTTATTCTGCATGCCTTTCAAATGAAGCCTGTCAATCTTGCCAACTGATAATCTTCATTCTATTCTTTTGTTTATGGCTTTCTGCATGAAAAAGGTATGCGCAATTTGATATTTCAAGGTAAAAACTGATATACTTGAGGAGAAACCTTTTATGGTATGATCTCATGTACTGAGAGATAGAATATATGTAGATCTTAAGAAGATAAGGATAGGCTCCAAAGAAATAAGATAAAAATGCCAATAGTATGTACGACATGCTAATGCACCTTATACTCCTTATATGGAGCATAGGCATTGATCATGCTCAACTTGTTGTAAGTGAATGAGGTTGGCAGCAAACTGCTATTCTGTCCGAATATGAAGCAGCTCATAGTTGGCAAGTTGGATGAGCTTTTGGCTATGTAATTTCTTATAAGACAGAAACCATCCTCTATGTGTATGGTCTTCCCATAGAAAACCTTATTATTTATTAGATGATGGCACTATATTCTCATCAGCTTATCCTGAATGTACCTAATTCCTGTATGTTGTTTGGTCCTAGTCTTCTGGTGTATAACATGAGTCATAGCTTTCTGACTCACGGCGATTGAGATATGGTGACCTGTTTCTTGCTTTTTCAGAGCAGAGATTGCCTCCCACGAATATACGATAGACAGCGCCAATATTGGGTCGATCTCCAAGTAAAGGGGATATCTTACGTAATCCTCATCCAAGCACCCTGCAATCTTTCTGGATCCATTTTCAGTAAAGGTACTTGCTCTGCAGTGATTTTGATCAGAATGCGGAGTTTTTCTCTCTGAGGACTGATGCACATCCTATTGGCCAGTGTAGGGTTAGACATTAATTGATTGTCTGACGTGTCTTATAATATAGTAATGTGGTGATGAAGTTCATGAACATGTCCAACATCAGTAACAGGAAACAGAAGTCCAATGAACTCTTCAGCTTGGCTTGTAAGTACAATATGATCAACATATACTACCAAGATGATCTGTTTGCGGTGCTTGTATGTCGACAATAATGAATAAACATTTGTCTTTGATGGCCCAAAATCAACGAAACCAAGCTCCGAGACATCGTTTGAGACCATATAAAGAGTGACGTAAGTGACAAACATTGGATGCCTCCTCTGAACCACATCTTGGTGGCTGATCCATATATAAATTTTAGAAACGCTTTCTTGATGTGTAGCCTATGGGAAGGCCAATGGTAAATTGTTGGTAAGACGATACTAATGCAAGTGAGGCCATTTTAGCGTCTTACAGTGTCCTTATCACTTGGTTCAATTGTCCTTTTTTCGTTGCGAGTACAGGAACATCGGTTCTGCATAAATACACCTCAAGAATCTTGTGTCATTCTTGACGAATTGAGAGAGTTGGACTTTAGCAACGGCTGGATGGGAAGAAGTGTTACAGGGAGGTGCCAAATTTTTTTTTTCCGATCCACCTTGAGGACAAGGTGGCTCTTTGGGGCCGGGATAATGTTAGGTACCCACCTTAGGCCCAAGCCCATACATACTTGGTATTCTAGAAGGGGTTAGGAAGGGTATTTTGGCATTTACTTGCAATAAATATTTAGTATAAATAGGGGGTTGCAAAGGGAGGGGGGGGGGAGGCATGCAGAAAATAGTGAGTTCATTTCTGAGAGACTAGCACTCTCGGATTGCTGGAGTTTACCTTTGTTTTTTATTCAAGTAACCCTTCAATTAATCTGTTTTCATCTTCATCTTTAGTTCGCTACTGATTTGGAATCCAGTTCGTAACAGTTTGTCATGGTTGATGAGAGCAAACATTGGTTATAAGATGCACTTTCAGTCTTTGTAGACTGTAGAGTACCATCTGGATAAAGCTCTACTGTATATGCCCATTTGCTACCGGAAAAGAGCGCCTCTCAACACAAAGCTTTTCCTGAACCCAAGTGCCATCTTGCCTTTCATGGCCTTGTACGACCATGGAGTCTTGAGGGTTTCAGATATATTTCTAGATGCTATCATGGCCCTTTATTTATAGCTACAGGTGTAAGAGGAAAGACAGCCCAAGGAGCTTTAGGTAGGTTTTCAAGTGGGGTATGAGATGGTTTGCAGTTGATTTTGAGGTGGGGGTATTGGATGGTTTGGGTATCAGATAAGTTCTCATTTGGAGTTTTAGGCTGCATATTAGAGTTGTTAGTTACTCGTGTGAGATCCAAAACAAGGAATTCATCTTTGTCAGATCAAGGGATAGGATCACATGGATATTGATGTTGACACATATAAACTATCTAGGTTTTTTAGTAGAATTGACAATTGCATGGGGAGACTTACGAGGTTGCTGCTGTAGACAATGGCTAGGGCTCTAATACCATGTGATATTTCAAGGTAAATACTGATTATATTACTTGAGGTGAAACTTCATGTAAATGCCGATTATATTAAACTCATGAGCTGAGAAGAATAAGCTCTGAATATGAGAAAGATGAGTATACAAATAAAATGTGCAACATGCTAATGCATCTAACATATAGATTGCATATGATAACTAATGGGATAACATAAGAGTAGGAAATGAAGCCCTAAACTAACAACAGTCCTAATATTGCTCTAACTTCAAATAGTCCTCAAGCTGGAGTTGGATATCAAGCATGCCTAACTTGACAAGAAATTATCCAACTACGCAACACCTCGCAGGATACAATGCATACAGTTGAAAGCAGCATCCTAAATGTCACTGTATGTGGATCATTAGTTAGATCGTGAACCTTCTTCCGACTTTCCAGAGAAACCTCAACAATTTAGGCCATTGCACCCAGATTGTGTCACTCGGTCTAATTGAGCTTTTGAAAGAGAGAAACGTCATAGGTGTCAGGTTGAGTTCCTTCGAACTCGACTCAGGAGTAGTCGTGGTCACAGGTTCAAACAGAGCAGAAGAATAGCACAGTTGGGAACTGGATTAGAGCATCGGAGGACTCTTTGATCCAGTAAAGCAGGAAAATTGAGTCGGTATTTACTAATCAACAAGGGCTGGTGAAGACTAGCAGGGTGTACCCTGCTGGTTTCCTAGTTTTATAATTTTATAACTGACTGGCCCTAGGGAGGTTGCTGGTGGTGACTGGACTTGTAAGGATAGGTAGTAGGCCCAGAGGGGTGGTTGATGTTGCTGGAAGATTGACTTGTGGCTGCTGCTGTGGTGTGGCGATGGCCAAAGTGAAAAACAATGCTTCTCTTTTCGGGTTGTAGTTTTGTTTTTTGGAGAAGCTTACAAAAAGGCAGCTTTGTCCCGTTGCACCCAAAAAGACCAAAAGCAATAAAAGCATGTATCTCCTCATCTGAGCTGCATCTTGCCTCAAGAATCCCCAAACCAGTGCCTTATTGCCCCAAGCAACTAGGCATGCTTTACAATCATGCTCTCTGGCCTAGTTCATAGTTATTTGTCTTTCTGAAAAGTTAAAAGATTGCTAAAATTCTTCTGTGATATTCATCATCCCAAAATGGCCATAGTTGCAGATACCTTAATCCTTTATTATGAAAACAGGTGCAAGGATTTGTGGGAATAGGTTTATAGTGCATTATTTGCCTGTTGTCCTAGCATAACTTCATTAGTTTGTTAGGGTCATGTATGTTGGCATTCCCATATATGGCACAATTCGTAGATATTATTGTAAAGATCCTTATCAGACAAAGCCCTAATATTCTGTTTACATTATGTCTCACAAGCTGCAATTATGTCTAAAAACACTTGGTAAATGCATCATTATATGTTTGATTTCTCTTCTTGTAAAACTAATATGGTTTCATCCTTTCTTCATCTTTTCTCTTTTTGATATCCAATTGTTTGATCTATCTGTTGCATATTCAGAGAGGTCGATGCCTAGGAGCCAGGAAAAGTCTCCACCAAGGTATTATCTATTTAAGCAACTATGTTCTAACATAATCCCAAATTATCTTTTGGATGTTCTTTTTCCTTTTTCATTATGATATGCAATTTACTCAACTGCATTTAGGTAACTTTTCAGTGCTTCTCTTGTACATTTTATTTGCTTTATTCTTTCTCTCATCCTAGATTTTTGTTTCTTTTTTCTACATTAAAAGATCAAAAGCTGAAAGCCCTGATGATCGGCCCAAAGTGGATAAGTTGTTTTTGAAGAAAAAAGGAATTGGATCAGAAGTAAGAGCTGAACGTACTGCCAATGCAGATGCAGACTTGCAGCTTTTGAACGAACATGAAAGAGAAAGACAGTTACAGAAGCAGAAGAGGCGTAGACGTCAAGGACGTGAAGAAGATGTATGTAATGGCATTACATCTACACCCGTTATTTTATGTTTATTATATACCTCCTTCAAAATAGGGTATGATGGTCAAACAAACCCAGTATGTCCCTCATGAAAGAGGGTTTGGGAGGGGTGGGATGTACGCAGACCTGACCTCTATCCCAAAGGGTAGAGCGGCTGTTTTCATGAGGATTCCTTTCTTATGCGAAAGTGTGAGCGAAAAGGAAAAGAAAAAGGAAAGAATAATTAGACTAGCAAGCAGAAAAAGGAAAAAAGCACAAAGAAAACAGGTTAATCATGTCTCTAGGAGCAGGTGGGCTGTGCCTGGAGTCGAACCCTTTCTTTTGCATTAAAGGATTGTCTTGCTTGGCAGATCTAGCATAACAGTATACTACATTGCCGTTTAAACACATCCTTACATCATAACATGCATTGCCTTTGCGATAGAGCTACCATTACTGGGAGGCATTGTTGTAGCATTTGGTATCTTACAATAGTCAAGAAGGGTGGCACACTTTTCAAATAGAAGTGGCTTTACGATTTAGGAATATCTTCTATAACCGTCTAATTTGGTTAGTTTATGGTAACCTGTTCTCGTGTAGGTGCTAGCCAAACTTGAAAAGTTCAAATCATCCATGTTTACCCAACCTGCTGCTCCTAATGGGGAATCCAAGGGTAAAAGTGATGAAGATTTGTCTGACTGGACTAATGTAAAGCTGAAGTTTGCACCTGATAAGGTACATTGTTTTCCATTAAATCTTTTCTCGACATTTTGGCTCCTTGTACTTGCGATGGCACAATAAAACTCGCTGAAGAGTACTCATGCTGTCCAAGTTACATAGACAATTGTGCACTTCAGGACTCGTTTGCATAATTGTTGGTTACATGTATAAAGAGAGAACTAAAGGCAAAATCCTTCAAAATATAACAAAGTTTGTCTTGTATCCTATTTAGTGTAAAGATGGATTTTTTTTCTTCTCAATTAGTGTAACAAATATTCAATTCTTTCATATTGTGTACCCTTTTTATACTAACACACAGGTTTCAGCTTATGTGGTATCTCTTGATTTTGACTTGATATTTTTTTCACTTATATCAAGAATTAAAATATAAATTGATAACCTAGCAACTGTGTTGTCAATAATTACAAGAACTGCTGGATACCCGTCAAAATGGGTACAAAATAGGAGCAGAATCTTGTTACACTAATTGAGAAAAAAAATCATCATTACATTAGATTGGAACTAAAGCAAAGTACGTTGCATGTTGATGCATTTGGCCACAGAACTAGTGAGTAATGACATTAAATCAGATGTAACCACAAACATTTGATGTTGATTCCTCAAAATGTTGCATAATTTGTAGTAGTTTTGCCAAGAGTGCAAATCTTTTACACCTAGCAAGAGGATTCTTTTTTTGTGTATGGTTGAGCAACTTGAATTTGTTCAATATGCAATAAACTTAATCAAACGAACCCAGGGGTTGGGTTCCGGTGAGAATGGAAGTTATGGTAAGAAGGATAAGAAGGGATCTCCACTCTTGGATCAATCCTAATTGAAGATCAACACTAATGAGATGCACCGGATCAATTCCCTTGAGAAGCGCAATTCATAGTATGGGGGGGAGATTAAAAGTGATCAAGGGTCCAGATCTCTTCTTATGTTTCTCATTATACTCCTATTCTCAGACGATCTTTCGTCATGAACCCAGTATATCCACATAGAGGTAGGAGGATAGAATGTACACCCTAATGGGTAGAGAGGTTGTTTCTATGAAGACAACTTACAGGGATTCTTCAGGATACTACATTTCCAGTTATATAATTTACGAGGCATTATTTCCTTTCTAATTCTTTTAAAATCATGTACAGGATAATATGTCTCGTAGGAATGATCCAAACGACTATGTGGTGCATGACCCTCTTTTAGAGAAAGGAAAAGAAAAATTCAACAAGATGCAAGCGAAGCAAAAGAAACGAGAACGAGAATGGGCTGGTAATTCTCTTACTTGATCACATTCTTGTCCGTGAGTTCTGAATTTTTCGAGTTCACCCCAACTGTGCGATAATACGATGGTGGTTACTGTTTTGTCGAGTCACATGGGTTTGTAACTGTTGACCTGTTTATCCTAGCGGCACATGTAAATCTTTCTTTTAGCAGACTTTTAGGGCTTGGGGTCCCTTATTTTTGACCATCCTTTGAGCTTAGTTTCATATGGAAGAACACACTGTTTACATATGCTATGAGAGAAAATTTGTTATTATCAATGTTCACAAAGTTATAAAATTCGGTTCATTAAGATAAAATTCGGTTCATTAAGGGATGATCTATTTTTCGCGTGTGGCCAAAAATCGCAAAATTCAGAACGGAAGATTAAACATATCTTTAGTCTTGCCCAAATAGAGATTTAGGAGAGCAGAAAAATGTATAAACTGGATGATTGAAGTATTTTGGTCTAAAAGATTGATCAAGTCTCCCTGATAACTTATGGGTTCGGAAACTTTCAGCGAATCAAATGCTATGATCATTTTAAGTTCAGTTGTTTTTACAGCCCATGGTTCATGAAAGAGTCTGCTACTCTTAGATCTACTTCGTATCGTCGTGTCCCCTAATACCAATTGGGTAGCTCGATCGCATTTATCACTAGATACCGACACAATGATGATATGCAGTGTTTCCTTTGAAAACGTTGGTGGAATGGGATGTCGGGCAGGGGGCGACCCATCGTTCGGGATGTGGTTGTCTGTGGAACCACAAAATTTTGGGGGGTAAGTGTAATTTTTATGGTCTTCAACTGTGAAACCATAAGTTTGTTGGAGTCGGTTTCTTGGGGGTGAAACCATAAACTATAAAACTTCTAGGTTTTATATGAAAATTTAAGAAATAGAAATCGTATTGTCTCATAAGTTGAGGAAGGTGTTTGGACTTTAATGTTTAAATTTATTTCTTTTACCCTTTTTATTTATTATTTTCTATCCTTATCATATTAATTAATACCTGACTTACATTAAAAAGATACATATTCTATTTTTATTTTATAAATTACGTTGTTATCGTCGATACCTTCGAAATGAGTTCAAAAATGAATATTTATTTAAAATCAATTTATATTTTTAACATTAATACAAATGAAAGTTAACATATTTTAATGTTCATGACATATGTGTACAATAAAATGCAGTATTTAATCATCATTAAATACACATTTGCCTTGATGTTTGTCGTTGATTCTTCTTGAATTTTTTTAAATAATATTTAGCGTGAATAATAAGGTGGAACTTTTTAAAAGAAAATTTTAATGTGAATACAAATTTTTATTGGCGTTGTTTTTGTTAGGGTTAATTTGTTTAAACTGATGTAATAGTGTTAATATAAGCCAACTCTTTAAGGTTATTTTGTGTATATTTGATCCTCACTTTAGACTTTACGTTATTTGTTTAAAGTTAAGTTTTAGACTTTAGGGTTCTTTTTTATTATTAATTTAGGACCAGCTCTGTGAATTAATTTGTTTTATTTGAGGTTAAAATATTATATTTTGAACCGACTATGTAGATCACGAGGTGGAAAATTGGAAATATACCAACACTCGATTGGTTCTAAAGTTTTAAGAAATAACCTTTTTGAATATAAACTAGTTTACCAATTCTTTTAATGGATCCAAAACAGTCACAACCTGAGTCCGTGTAATAATTTTATTATTATTTAAAAAAATTATATTATGATAATTAGTTTGTGATATCACTTTGAAAAAATCTTGGATCTGTCATTGCTTTCGAGTCAACCATTGTGAGATTGTATTAGAATGTGTTGTCAAATTATGCACAAAGATGTTAATAGTAATATTGATAAAAATATTTGATTAAATACAAAAAAAATTAATGGTGCGGAAAGGTGGTCATAATTTCAATGTTGAAATAGAAATTTCACTTTTTGTTTATGTTGTTATGCCAGTGAATAACTATATTCGCTTTTACCATACTCTATGTACCACAATGTTACGCCTTATGTATAGAAGGGGACATGTTTCTGATCTTGTTTTGTTGGAAATCGCATACGACAAACATATCAAGTCTTTTAATGACTTGACCATTGCGAATGCTAAGGAAGCCCACAACAACAGACAACAAGTTTCTCCCTTTTAATATAAGGCGAAAGATCGTGTGAGAAAAAGAGTTAAAGTAAAATGAGTAAGAAAAGATTTGTACCGTTGATCACCTTTAATCTCAAACTCAGTCATGAATTACACTTGATACGTAGATTGATCCAGTGCATCTCATCTTAATATGCATCTAAGGATGGAGATCCATTCTTATGTTTCTCATCTTAACTCTCGTTCTTACTAGAACCCAGCCTTTAATATGGGTTGGGTTCACGTAAGACTATAGTTTTTCGTGAGACCCCTAAGACCAATGCATGTTCATTGATCAACTTTATAAGCTAATGATCTAATGGTCTAAAGTTGCATGGTGGCAATTTTGTGATTATTGAGAAGTCTTGTGGCAATTTTGTAATTATGAATGTCCAGATTGTAGCTCTAATCCAAGGGTTGAGAATTGGTCTTATGGGTCTCACGAAAAACCTTTGGTCTCATATGATACCAAGTCTATAATATATATATTCGATTTTTAACCCTGTTTTCAAAATTTCAATCACGAAAAATATTAATATAATATTTTTCACATTTACAAATTATTATTATATACGTACAATTTATTAATGTGTTTAAACTTTATAAAACTAACTTAAAATCAACATATAAAATTGTTTAAATACAAGGTAAACATTAAATCATGCTAATAAGAAATAAGATAAAATACTTAAATATTATATAAAACTGATAAAAATTAGAAAACTCTCTCAATTCTCTCAAAACCATATAGTTTAATAAAATAAAATTGAAAGAGAAGCTAAATATATTACATTATCTTATTTTACCTTACTAGATGAATATGACAAGTACCAATAATCTTACCTAATAACACTGAACACAAGTATTGAGAGTCCTACCACGGTAAGCACTTATGTTGTATACAATACTCTTTTTGATAAATTAAAAAATCTTATTCGATAAGTAAGTGATATATTAAATTTTATCAATAAACACTTATATAAATAAATATTTATTAAAATATAGAGTCGATCATAAAATTGTAAAAAGCATGATAGAGATTAGAGGGGTCCAAAGACGATAAAGAAAAAGACGGGTGGGGAAACCGCGTTGAAATTTTAGGTGATCGTATCCCTGCAATTTGGTCGGTGTCGGGTCCATCCACGAATCTTTTAGACCTGGTCCAACATAACTGCCGCCGCAAATTAATCCTTTTTTTTTTCAAATATAATTATTATCGAAGTTAAATTGGTTTGAAAATTGCATCTGAATTATTTTAAAATGAAAATTATATTTGGGTTGAAAAAGCAGCAACCAGATATTCTTTTATTTTTCTGAAAACAATTTTATTAAGGGGCCGTTTACCAAATATTTATCTTGTAAGTATTTAGCGGTAAAATTTAATACTATTATTTATTTACTAGGTAAGATTTTAGTTAACAAAAACGGCTTTCTATGCAATAATTTAGCCGGTAAGAGCTGACCGTGGTAAGAGTCATTGTCCTCACTTACCGAGTAAGACTCTCGGTCTTTGTCTCGCTCTTATCGAGTAAGATTTTTGGTTATTGTCATATTCATCCGGTAAGGTAATATAACTTGGTTAACGCTTACCCAAGTAAGCATTTGGTAAACGGCATCTAATTGTTTATTAATTAATATTTGTTTTATAATATATTTTTAAGATTTGATGATATTTTAAAAATACAAATTATCTATCTATTAGTCTTTTGATTATTATGTATTTATTAAAATGAATGTCTATATACAAAAAAAAAAAAATACAATTTTAAAAATATATAATTACTACACATTTTAATTAATGAAGATAAATTTAATCCATGTCGTAGTTAATGATAGAATGAGAAAGTAAACAATTAGTTTTGAAAGTATACACTTATTTTTTAGGACGGACAAAAATAATATATATATATATATATATATATAGATATGTACGTATGCATTTATTTTGGGACAAATAAAGTATTATTAAGAAAATTTGTATGCAAGTATATTGTTAAAAATTGTATTATAACTAATAAACAATATTAATTATCTCGACTTATTGATGAATTAAGGATTAAAGTTAGATGAAAATGGAAAATTTTAATTTACGTCAATTAAAGAATAAATCTCTCTTTGAAGGTCTAACATATGATTACCTATAGACGCGGTTAAAAGATTTTGATCAACAATTTACTTGTCAAACCTTACACAAGGTCTAGGTTATGAATGAGTGTTGCTAAAACCGTATAATAGTCACAATCTCCAAGGTACGAAAAACGTCCCAAAAATAACTAAATTATTCTCGATCTCTAGTTAGCACTCTAATCTTCACCGAGTCACTAGTACCATTCCCTAAGAAGAACCTGATACACATGGCGACAAGAAAAAGTATTAGGTTTAACGTCTAGTGAGTTCAAACGTTTTTTATCTTTAATATAAGAAGATAAAACACTGAAAGAATACTATTTACATCACAAGTTTTTCAGATGAATTATATTTAACATATAAGCAATAATTTTCCCAAAACCCATAATTTTCGTGATGAAAACTCATTAATCAAAACACCTATTTAACATGAAACTAAAACTCAATATTCACATTTTAATACTGAAAACATGAATAAAACTATATTATCCAAAATATCAAAACATGGATAATTTATAATAATATAGTATTCCATTAATTATGGATATACAATACCTAGAACAACAACGAAAACATGGATAATGTGACTCCCTGTATACTAATTCAATACACTTCTCATAATCATTCATAAATAACGTTGATGCATAAAACCACTTCTGTGAAAACATCATTCATTAGTGCAAGATCTCATATGTGTAAGTATGTCAAACATTCTCAATAGGATCCTAGATCCCCAAGGTTCCACGAAGGATCTTCCCCTGAAGTCTGTTTGCAAGACGTCCTCCATTCTTATACCCTGTCTGGTATTTAACGTGGTTATACTTTCACATGCACAAAACTTTTCACATACCACATAATGTATTTCTTATAAAATGCATTATAAACTTAACCTTATCTCATCATACAAGGTAAAGTTCCTAAACATCATTTCAAGATATTCATTATGCATAAAACATGTATATAACACATATGTATCCCTGTAAATCTCAAAATGTACTTACCTTATTTCCTTAAACTGGAATGCTTAATTTACCGCGTAGATTGAATGCA